AATGAAAATTGTATTTCATAGAGGCCTGCTGAAAGGAAGTGGAAAGTTTTCACTTCCCTTCTAAACAGCTGTTCAGAAGCGTATGCAACAAATGAAGTGCAAGCCAGTATAGCTCAATTCAAATATAGACATTTAAAGTCCCTACTGATGTAACATATTGAGAAACAAGGATAATGTAGATCACTTACAATGTTATTTATACAGATCCTGAACAGACATGCATATTAAGTGGTTGTTGCAACCAACCAGGCAAAAAACTTCTGTCTGCAACTAATTCCAACTTTTATCGTAGGGAAAAATAGGGTCTAAAAGCCCTTCTCCATCTTGCAAATCAGAATTTTTATTTGTTTAGAAAAGCAATTACGAAATTACAGGCTCACAAATAAGGCTGTTTTCACCAGTGGTGAATACATCTTTTAATTGCCTTGTTCCTCTACAGGCTCAGAAGGAGAACGACAATGCTTGCTATTGACTCACTAAGCCATAAAGACGCAGCATCACATTCACTGTTCTTGAAGGTATCCAAGTTCTACACAAGAGGAAGAACTCACCATGTTTCAAGCATTTTGACACTCGGTTTTTACCCAATCTCCTGCTATCTGAACAATATCAATGTGTTCGGCAGATTTAGATTTAAAAGATTAGGTCTACAGACTAAGGACTTTATAATAAATTCTGTTCTTAAATAATGCCCTCAAAACAGTAACTTTTTGTCATCTGATGAAACTCTAGAGAAAGTTCTGCTCTTGCATTTTTGTCAATTTTTTTCTTATCAAAATCCTTAGGCCTTGCAGATCTAAAAAAAATAAAGCCCTTAAGAAAGGACAAGTGCATGCCACAACTCAGAATCAAGACAAAATAAATACAAATGAATTGATCACAGAGAATAATCAAGGTCTCACCTTACACACCTTGGCAACTGACAGAAAAAGAGAAGTTTTTGGTGCCCTCCCACAATTTGGACCTACCTAGCAGGATTCATCTAATCAGGTTTCAGACTCAGTGATACCCATGAAGATAACCCTGCACATGTTTTGTACATGCATAGAAGAGAATGCATGCTGGTGCACGCATGCAACAGGTAATGAGCTCAAGAAAAAAAGAAAACAGTCCCTTTGAAGGGCTCTTCATTGCTTGCAGCATTTATTCAGAGCTTTATAGGTGTCCAGCACCAGGGGTTGCTCCAATTAAGTTCAAAGTAAAAGCTGCAACAGATGAGGAGTCCCAACGACACAGGAGACACCAGCCTGTATTGTCTGTATTTCTGCACCGATAGTAACCAAAAATTTGGAAATAGTTAATACTTTTTATACCATCTATAAAGCAATTCTATACAAGTCTATATGGAAGTAAATATGATTTTGGTGTGACTTACTTCCAGGTAAGTATGCATAAGGTTGCTTCTTACTAAAATCCACAAGATAAAATTACGGCTGGCAGAAAGACTTCGTCAGGTGAACACTGAATCGTTTTACATAGATCCTATGCATGCTTACTGTGAAAATTTGATGAAGCCTACTTTTTTTTAAAAAAAATGAGCAAGTTTGTACTCAGGATAGTCAGATGTGAACTCCATGAAGTTGAAATGTTAGACCCTCTGCCTCATCCTGAATTCTGATTAAAAATTAAGCCTAGACTATCTTCTGCAAATTCTATGGGATAGAGTTGCAGTGATTTAAACTGCAACACTGGTAGACACAAGCTTATTACATTTATGCCAAGAATGTTCATGCCAGCATGTACTCAATAAAATCTTTGCTACTTCTAGCCCATTACTGTAGACAGTGAGTGGCTGCAGCTCAGTGGGGTTTCAAGGAGGGGCTTTATCAGTTTTACCAGGAGATGCCAGGGACACAACTTGGGTCCTTTCACCACTGAGCTATGGCCCTTTCTGCAGTCATTCCTTCTTCAGGTTTGTAACAACATTACTTGGACTAGAAATCAAAATACTATCTTTATTGGCAAGAATCCCCACATGTTAGATTTTGGATTGTAAAAGGTAAGTATTGCTTACACTCAGAGTTCCAATACAATTGCAGAATATTTTTGTGGGGTGGGGGGAGATTATTCTTACAAATTGGAAAAGGAAATTTAAGTCAAAAGGCATTGAATGAATAGAATCAGTCCAAAAATGATTGTGTGTGTGCCTTAACTTAAATCCTTACTGAGTTATTAATACATAATTTAACTTACTCTGATGAAGCAGATACCTGTTTTGAAATCCTTTCTGTTTTGCTGCAATATCATGGTGCAATGGAACTTCATTATGGGCTAACAGAATGTGATCCTCTCCTACCAATGCCAGTGAGAAGCACTCAGCAAAGTAATTGAAAGCTGATTACTTCTCTTCAGACAATTGTCAGATACTGGTCATCAAACAGCTAGTAGCAGGGTTAGAAGATCAACCGGCAAAGTGGACAACAAACCTCAAATTTTGTTTATCAATTGATAAACAAATAGGGTTGGGCTTTTACCTTAATGCAGCTCAACTAACATTTCTTACTGTAAAGCTAGCATTCTTGAGAAGCTAGAATAAAGGCCTAATTTTTCTGATTGTGATGGCTAGAAAGACTAAAAAAAGATGTAGTTCAGCAACTCAAGCTGGTGCTGCGTGCTGCTCTAGCTACAGGGAACTGGAAGTCTGCTTTGCTTTCAGATAGCCTTGTATACTTTGACAAAGAGCATATACATAGCTGTGTGGAGAAATGAGAGAAAATGGTAATTATTTCTTATCCATTCTCTCATCTTTTTAGAGAGGAGGCATCTAATATAGACAAGTCCTCGAAATACATTCTTGCCAGGCACAAACTAGGCTCTTAAGGTAAACACGACTTTAAGAATGCCCAACAATTACTGGAAATGCTATGCTTGCTACGCAGGCAAACAATGCCCACTTGTGCTTGTTTGAGAGATACATGCATAGAAAACCATAGCGATGATCTTAATCCAACATTTCCAAAAAGAACTTAGGTCTTCCTGAATTTCAGCCTTTCATTTTGCTTTCCTTTGCTCAGATCAACTAGTTGGTATATTAGCTTTGTCAAAAAGGCACACAAGCAAATTTCCAGAGCAATGTATGTTTGTTTCATTAACCCAACAGATCCAATGCCACTCCCCAATTCAGATCAGGGCCACAATACTCTGGAAAGGGGGTGTCAAACCACATCCCCCCAAAATTCCAACCCCCCTCCCCACAGGGAGGGAGCTAGAAGTAGTAACCTCTCTTATGAGTGGCTTTAACCTGAACTATATTAAAGGGAAGAGAGCTTATTCTGCAAACTAGAGGTATGAGAAAACCACTTATTTTAGATTTCAAAATAGTCCTGCACTGTTCTTTGTATAAGATCATACAGCAGTTCACAGCTGTTGCCAAGTGCAAGCAATAATGTAACTAAAACAAAACAGTTCTGATGATGATTTTAATCCCCACCTACCATACCCAGAAAGGGAAAAAACACCTTTCTTTTGATCCAATACAAATTGTTATTCTCCCTCACATCTGCAGCAGCACTTCACTTTATCTTGAGACTACAGTCCTGTGGTATTTAATTACCCTGTCAAGAGCACTAAATGGTTTGGCACCAAGCCCTTTCCCTCAATCTCTGCTGATTGATAGCATCAATAAAATTCACTCATTTTAATTAAACCTCCAAATAGGATCTCCTTTTGCCACTCACTAGGATCAATGTTCTTTAATATGGAAGGAACAAAACACAGAGGTTGCGAGGGTGCGTCTTCCTCACCTTCACAGTTCATTTCCTTCAGATGTTCTAAAGGGATTTTATACAATGCATACATATTTCACAGTTCTCTTGACACATTAGCTAATGGAAAAGATCACCATTAAAAACTGTCATCTACCTAAGATTACTTCCTACTGATATGCTTTTGCAAATATATACACTAAAGGGAGATAGTGCTATTTTCTGTTCAAGCGGCATGCATAAGCTCAGATAGTTGTTGTTCAAACCTTCTGAAGCCACATTCAAGCATTTGCAATAAATATGGATGGCATTTGAATAAAATATTATAGTAGCATGTTTGTTTGGAAGTAGCTAACTCTGCAAGAATAAGAGATGCCAGATAATGGACTTTACCATGATGCAATCTATTTTAAATCACAGGGTGCCTCTTTTAACATTGTGTTCTTCCTGTTGTTAATTATGTTTTTAACTTCAAAATAAGACATCATGTTTAAAACAGTATTTCCATTAATATAAAGCAAGAAAAGGAGGAAGGGTTTTAGCCTTCAATGCCCTTTGAACTGAATTCCTTTATGGCATTCATTCTTCTAAATGCTAAATGTAGCAATAAAAAAATTCCTTAACTGCACAGTTATACTATTGGCAATTATTCGACCTTTGAAGCAGAGAAGGGATTTTTCAATTTTCTATTAATTCCTTCTTAATCATAATGCATCTACAATTTTTAAATATTGCAGTTTGGGAAGAAAAATCTACATACTGAATTTGAAGGTTTTTTTTTAAAGATCTATATTCCCCTGACAGGTAATAATTATACATAAACATATTAATAGTCAATTTGGCAATGTAATATGAAGGGATTTTTGGTATGAAGAAGAAAAATTTGGCTAACTTTTACCCTTTGAAGAATTGTTTCCCATTTCATTTCCTAGTTAGATTAGGAAATGCTGTATCTGGTGGAAAAATTCCTGCCTTTTGGTTTTATTGTGATGTTATGATTTAATGCACGATGTCTTGGATTACACATGGATTGCAATACCAGGGCAATGGACAGATGAGGAGCATTTCAACATGATTTTAAATAATGAAACAAACTGGAAAGGCAGAGGCAATGAGGGGAGTGGAGAGAACATGTAGGAAATGTTCCAGCAGGGAAAGAATTATGCTTTTTTGTCCTTAGTAATAAAATAGTAAGCCAGCACTAGATCTAAAACCAGGCAGCCTCAGGAAGCAAGTAAGACAGGTTAGTAACATGTAAATTCAAGAACAAATATTTTCTTTTAAATTTCTACATACTTTTATAGTTTTGGTTTGGAGTCTCAATCCGTTCAGAGTATTGATTGCCTTTTCAGCATCCTTCGGGTCAATGTAGTTCACAAATCCATATCCTAAACTCTGTCCTGATGATTAAAAAAGGGGAAAAAAGAATTATAATTAGTAAAAGGCAGTTAAAATATTCTACACTTGGGGACAAAAGGACAACCACACTAATCTTAAAAGTAATTTTTAATACCTCACTTATTAAACATATTGATTACTGGATGCGCTTTGGAAATAATAGCATTCTATTTTTTTCATAAAATTTTAAGCAGCCATGGAGCCATTATTTATCATTTCTGAAGTGCAACTTCCCAAACTTCAGTAGATATATTTTGATAATCAAAAACTTGGCTGTTCTGTGCAGTAGCTTGGTAAATCCATCAGCACTAATCTTAAGACTTTCCCAATAACTGTCATTAAATTATTACTGCACTCCAGTCTCTACAAAGTATTTCCCAGGATGTGGTAGAAATGGGGGGAATGTTCATCTACTCCTGTTTCCCTTTGAAAATCTGTTCAGGGGAGCAACTGCAGGGAGTGCAGGATGAAAAGGGAATGGGCCGTACCTTCTCTTCATGGAAGTACAACAATTCTTACAAACATGTCACAATGCATCACATAAAGAGTTTCAGCTTTCAGTATTATATTTGAATACAACACAAAGCTGGCAGGTACAGTATCAAACACAAAGGACAAAAAGTTTTGTCTTGTCTTTTTGTTTCCCCAAAGAGAACAGGTAATCTTAGTCAGGTAAACTTCTCCTATACAATTAAAGGATTTTAATCATGGGGAGAATTTTGATTAAATGTAATCACTTCAATATGAAGCCTAAACTCAATTTGAGTTTAATTGTTTTGGTATGCAATGCTGTTCAAGAATTTACAGATAAGAATGACTGGAAATGTTTTACAGAGACATTTCAATTCAAGTCTAAAGGCTCTAAACTGATTAGATTTACAAGCTTGTTGATCCACCTTGTTGATTCCTTGAGCATACATATAGCATGGATGGCTCCAAAATTTTTAGTACTGTTTTTTGTTTTCCCTTGCATCAAAGTTCAGCTCCCAGTTCCACAGCCACCACCCTGTCTTTTTTCCAGGTTATAGTGACAATTGTTTTATTAAACAATGCACACATAGATGAAACCACCAGCAATTTTGCAAACAACCATAGAAAGCAAGCAGCAGCAATATGACTAAAGATGACACTGCAGAATGGACCACACTCTGAAATACGCCTTGCGTTATTTGCATACAGTATTTTATATCCTGCCTTTCCACTGAATGAGAGAGCCAGCACGGTATAGTGGTTCAGAGTATAGGACTGGGACACAGGCAATCTGGGTTCTAGCTTCTGCTTGGTCATGGAGCTCACTGGGTTACTTTGGGCCAGCTGCAATCTCTCAGCCCAACCTACCTCAGAGGCTGTTGATCATTACTGCAGAGGATGCTTAAGGTTTGGAGATTAACAATGGAGCATGCAATCCAAAGGACTGGACCTTTAGGTACCAAAGGCTGTTCCAAATGAAATATTTTTGCCTTTCAACAGAATTCCATGAAACACAAGGCTCTCCTGTCCTCTAGGAATTCTAGAGTTTAGGAGAAGCCAACAAGAAGACCCCACCTGGAAGCTCCTGCTATGAATCAAATTTTTGTGGGAAGAAAGGAGTTTTGCTCAGAATCTTAAAACCAGGCAGGCTTACTGGGATTGTGGTCTTTTTGATGGTTCCCAAGTCATGAAGATCTTTCTTGGTCATAACCAGCACTTCAAATTGTTACTGATCTGTTTCCAAGCAACAGTGAGGCTGGCCCAAGTCAATATTCTGGCTGCAGCATTCTGAATCACAAACTTTTCTACATACTCTGTACAGGTATACAGAAAATGTTATGATGGGCCACACAAGATGAAATCAGGGCATTACTCACAATGGCTAGGCAAGTCATTCCCAAGAACAGGAACAGTTAATACATTAGACTTGGTTGTACAAAGTGTTCCTGGTAACCCAAACCCAATGCACATGTAGATTGTGTACCCGAGTCTTCCATGGGAATCCAACCCCATCTAAGACCGGTTGAACTCATTGTCTGGTCTGCTTCCCTATTAACCAAAGGCATCTGCTTTGTCTGGACTGAATCTAAATGTATTTGCCCTCACTGAGTTAATTACCAATAAGAGACACTGATTTCACCGAAAGCTTAGATGTAGCAGTTAAGCCAAGGGAAAGACATAATATAGAACATGGGTCCTCAAACTACGGCCCGGGGGCAGGATGCGCCCTGCCATGCACATTTATCTGGCCCGCCATGCCCATGTGGACCTGCCGCCGCCCACCGCGCCCCGCACACAGGGAGGCAGCAGTTTGCTTGGAGAAAATGATCTCCAGTGAGCAAGCTGCTGCCTTGTGCGCCTACCTCACGTTGCGTGCCTACCCCCACCTCAGTACACATGCCCGCACGTGCCACCCCATCCCGCCCTGCACGCACCGCCAGCACCACCTTTCCGGCCCGCGCCCAGCACCAGAACCTTTCAGCTGGCTCCCTGGTGGAAAAGTTTGAGGACCCCTGATATAGAACAACAGATGAATTACATAAGTGAATTATAAAGGATTAAAAAGTGACAGTTCTGGGAGAAGAAGAGAGAGGCCACTCTATGCAAAAGAATAAAGGGACAGAATCTGGACATCAGATAGTTGGACTGAAGAACAGACATCATAATCATCCAGGATGGTTATAGTCAGATTTTATGTTTTCAAAAATGGGGACTGGCCAATGTTTCATCAGGCCAGATTCTAAGCTGTGAACTCACACCTGCAGCACCTATCAATGACTCATTCATTCAGTCTACAGTTTCCATCTTGATTTAAAATATTCGATCTAAAATGTTGATCTAGTGGCTACAACATCTGCCCTAATTTTTGGTTAGTGCTGCTCACAGGAAAAATCTAAGATGCTGCAAGACACAAAAATGAAAGCATTGAGCACAATTCAGTAAAAATACAGAACTAGCATTTGCAGAGCCATGGGGAAAAAAGGCAAGGTCATAATATAAAGTTACAGCTATTTGAGAGAGAATTTACATCTAACCGAAGATACTACTTGCACTATCCAGTGGAAAGTGCAGCCTGTATGACATATTTCAGGCAGCCCTCATTGTAAATTGCTTATTAAAACCACAAACACTGTTTTTGCACACATGGCACTAATAACATTGGCAATACTGAAATAATGAAAGATTTTGTTCCTCTGAATGCAAGGATTTTTTTTTCATGGTTCATCCCATAAGGAAGACATATTTAAGCAGCAAATCAATTGTTGTGCGAACTGAACACATCTGTTTACTGCATCACTAAATCACATTAAGAAGAGGCCTAAACTTAGCAAATGGCCTTGCTATACTGGCACGTATTTTCAAAGACGATGTTGGCTTTATGCTAAAATATATTCATACCAAACATAAATCTCACTTTGCCAGACTGTTCAAATATCTCAGTCCTAATTTGTCCTTACCTTTTCTTTTTGTTCCTACAGCAAAAAGCTCTGATCCATACAAGAGTGCTGCAATATGCATTCAAAATACTATATAATCAAAACATGGTTATACAATAAAACCAATAAAATAGAGAGGTAAAAATCAGAAAAAAACTAAAATCACCCCAAGATGGAGAAAATTAATGTGTTTGTGAAGCTGACATGTACTACCTGGTACAGATGAAAAGAGATAAGGAGAAGGCTTCCTCAAGAAATTTATTCCAAAGGGTCCTGCCTGATTCCTGACCAACCATGCATCTAAAGGTACTGGGCCACAGCAAAACCGCAGAGGGTAGCTGTGAAGGGCAGGCTGACTCAGGTTAGAGGAGGCAGTTCTTCAGGTTTCCTGCCCCCAAACTGTTTAGAACTTCATAGGGATGTCATCTGTCCTTTTGATTACTATTTTAACCAGTTCTTTTCTTCTCTCTGTATAAAACACTACTAGTTGTATCCACCTTCTTTCCCACATGAATTTTATACAAAATAAATTTTGATTTCAGTGAAGGTTTATATCCGGAGTTCCTGCAAATGGAACTCCACTCAAAGGATTCTACCACTAGAGAAAAGGGGGCCGAGGCTGCATTCACAAATTCCTTCTTGTCCTTGAAGCCCCTGAAAAGGTTCCTTACAGGACTGGGGATCTACCAGAAGAGCCTAGAAGGTGGCATTTAAGTGTGCAGGAAATATGAAAAACACCTCTGCTTTCTCCCACCTCCTCCTGTCACAAGCTCTGCTGAATCTCAGTGCCTTCTGCAAATGGGAGACTCAATCAGCATCCAAACTCAAACGAAGCTTAACTTTATCAACAGCTTCCCTTCAGGCTGAATTTAGTACAACATTAATAACAATCTCTGTACTTATTACATGATGAAAGCAATGCAGCAAGCTCACACCTTCCTAGAACTTGGCATAGCTATCATTTTATTCTGAAAACCAGAGGTTTTTAAATAATTTTTTATTGTTATATTGTTATTTATGTATTTCGTTTCTGTTGTGAGCCGCCCCGAGGCTTTGTTGCGATGGGGGTGGCATAAAAATGTTTTAAATAAATAAATAAATTCTTAAATCTCATTGAAAAGTGTCAGAGGGATTTATCACTACTAATCCAGTGTGGGTTAGCAAGGGTCTCCTGTAGTGATGTTCAATTTCATGGTTTGCTACAAAGCAGCCTTCAAGAGTATTTCCACATTGAAAAAAAAAAAAATGTATCACTGGTATGCAACATGGGTTAATCATCATTTATTGTTTAAGAATGTAATTTCTAATTTTCCAATTAAAATATTAAATCCTTTAAAAATAGAAGCATGCACTAAATAACCACTTTCTTGTACTCCTGATTCAACTGCATTTGTTGAAGCAAAAACCCCAATGGACTATTGAAGTGACAAATAATGCCAAAACTTTTAACTATTTCTGGCTAAAATTTTGTCAATGAGCATGCTTTGTCATGGAACACTATCATCCCTTTAAATCTACAGAAGATATAATAAGGTTCTTACCCCCACACTAGCTGATGTTAAGCAATTTAAAATAAACCACAACCAGCCAAACTC